TGCTAGAAGTCTCAAAACACAAAGCTAGTGAAGGCCAACTACACTACAGCTATACAAAGCAAAGCATATATGTCCAAGACCATTCAAAACAGAGCTTAATCATGCTAAATCAGTAGCAAAAATGTGCTGGAGGTAAGCTAACACATGCTAGAATGATAGCTTAAATCATCAAACGTGCTAGGCTAGTAAGCGAAATTACACTACAAATGTAAGATGCAAGCAACAAGTGACCAAACTAGCCAAAAACAGAGTTAGAGTTGGTCTGAAAAGTCACAAAAACATGCTCAAGATAAGCTAACACAAACCACAAAAATATGCTACTTTGTAGTGCTAACAAGGCATGGTATAAAGAGACAAGGAGGGGAGGCCACCCTCTCCTATTTTGACCTTCAAAACAAAATTTCTACTACTGAAATTTTTCTGGAATTCAGTAGTTTTAAGGCCAAAAAAAATGGACTCAAAAGCTTTTAAAAGAAGGCTCTAAAGGCTTACAAGCCAAAAAGCAAATTGAGGGAACCACCCCCTAACCACACAAGGCTCAAACCACCATTTTAAAACCTTAAAATCAGAGTTTTTAGAAGTTAAAAACCAGCCTCAAAGTAGTGTAAAAAGATGGCCAAACACTTAATTAAAACAAGGTTTAAAAGGAGTAAATTCTCACCCTTGAAGCATAGCAGCAAAACAGGCCTTCTTCTGAGCCAAAAACAGTTTTAGGAGCCCCAAACAAGCCTTAAGAAACCTCAGCTCCAAGATAAGGGTGTTTGGTTAAGGGGTTATAGGCAAATATGTGAAGAAAAATCACTTTCAAGCACAATATATATATATATATATATATAGAGAGAGAGAGAGAGAGAGAGGGAATTTTCAACTCTGAAAATTTGTAACCCCAAACAAAGGGGGGGAGACCTCCCCTTATATAGAAAAATATGTTCCAAAGCTTCCTTGACAAGCTAAAAACTTGTTTGAATCCATCAATACACATGTATGGAGGATACACTCAGTGTGTAACAACTGGCACAGCCGGCACACAAAACATCTGAAAAAGCAGAAAAATGGCCGTCGGCCACCATTAGTGGCCGCCCGGCCACCACTGATGGCCGATGGGTAGAAACCCTGGCTAATGGGTTATAAGGCTGGCCCATAGGTCACCCTCCTCTCCTAGAGGCAAAGAAACAAGCTCTTGGTTCACAACCAAGCACAAAAACAGACAAGTTGAGAGGCTTTAAAGCAAGGCACTCAGTCGAAACCTTCGGGGACTCAAAACAAACACGAACATGGATGATCATCAAGTGCTCAAACGATGCTCAAACGATGACGTCCAAGTCTTGAGGACGGTCAAAAATGGGGTGTCTACAGACTCACATCAGAGGGAGTTCCCACATACGGTGCCAAATAAAGTTGCCAATCTAATCCGAAAAGCACAATATTATCCGCTTTGGTCGGAGCCTCACGACAATGTTCTTCTTTATAAAGGCTTCATGCTAGTTAGGAGGAGTTAGTCAACTTATTAAGTGGATTGTGGACACCCCTTAGACTAATGTGGGACAAACCCATTTCGGGCTCCCACATAAGTCCCCTGTTGACTGGCTCTGAACACCAGGGGACTCACATCGAAGGGAGTTCCCACAAATGGCGCCAAATGAAGCTGCCAACCCAACTCTACTAGCACAATGTTGTCCGCTTTGACCAGAGCCTCACGGTTTTGTTCTTCTTTAGAAAAGGCATCATGCTAGTTAGGAATAGTTAGTCAACTTATTAAGTGAGTTGTGGATTTCTCTCAGACCGATGTGGGACAAACCCATTTCAGGCTCCCACATTAACATATGCAATTCCATTATATAATTTATAAATAAACCAAATGAATGACAAACTCACTAAACATAACTCTGTTTGATTTTGAGTTTTCAAAAATAGTTTTTTGAGTTTTTTATTTGTATTTTTATAAGTTTTTTGATTTTTTAAAATATTTTATTCAATTTTTTTTATCCACTTAATCTTAGTATACTTCAAAAGTATAAAATTTGTATAAAAATCTTAAAAAATCTCATTGAATACAACAAAATATGAAAATATACCGAATTTTCATTTTTTTTTTTATATTTTTTATATTTTCTGAATTTTTAAATTATTTTTCATAAATATTAAACTTTTTTAAGTGTATCTTTATTACATGTATCTAAACAAAAAATTATATAAAATATTTAAAAAATTGACTAAAAATAGAAAATATGAAAAATAAAAAACTAAATTATTAGAAAAATAGTGTAAACCAAACTATAATTTTTTTGTAAATTGAAAATATAAATATGTTTCATTTTTAGGGAGAGATATCTAAAACTAGAAAGAACCTAAAATAATTACAAAAATGTCAATGATTGGAGTGTCGTTGGGTTTGTTGCGGTGATGGTGCTGGGAGGGTCGGAAAGGATTAAGGAGGGCCTGAGTAGGGTGACTGTGGAGTTGGTGGTGGTTAGGAAAGGCAAGAAGAAAAAGAGACATGTTGGTTAGGAAAGGTAAGAGAAGAAAAACAGAAATGTCCGAAGGCAAGTGTAAGGAATTTTTTTTACCCATTTTAAAATTATTTTAAAATTTTTATTTTACAGTAATTTTTTGGAAAATTTATATATAAATCTCATTTTGAAAAATGACAATCTATTTAGTCTCAGGGATTTTCTTATAGACCAATTAGTCTCAATGATTTTGGAAAAGTAGATTCAATATATTATTTAAAAATTAGATTTACGGCTATACCCTTATTTCTGTTATGTTTCTTTCTCTTTTTTTTTTTTTCTTTTGTGCTAAAAAGATAATATACACAATCTGTGAGAATTAATTTTAGGATGACTTTTTATATTGAAATCTTTTTATTTGGAAAACATTTCAAAAGGAGTATAAAAATAATTTGAAATATGGAATTCCTCAAATATTCCAAATGGAAGTAGGATTCTTCAAACACTTCAAAAGGAGTACAAAAACCCCTTAGTAAACTTTAGGCAAATGTATGATTTCAAACCTTAACACTCCAATATAATACTCTAATGTAATACTTTAAAAAAAAAAATTAGTATACTTTTTCCAAACATAACATTTCAAAAAAATTCCCTTAGTGTACTTTTCTTAAACGTAACATTCCAATATAACATTTCAAAAAAAAAAAATATGGGATTCTTCATACCATCGTAACACTCCAATGTAACACTCCAAAAAAAGAAAATAAGATTCTTCAAACCATTTCAAAAGGATGTGAGATTCTTCAAACCATTCCAAAAAGTGTACAAAAATTTCTTAGTAAGTTTTGAGCAAATGTATAATTTTAAATTATGAGTGTTATATTTGAAAAAATTACATTAAAGAATTTTTTAGTATTTTTTTGTTGTGTTACATTGGAGTGTTACGTTTGGAATTACATTGATTGAAATGTTATGTTCGGGAAAAGTATAATAAGAAAAAAAATTTGTGTGTTACATTGGAGTATTACGTTTGGAAAAAGTACACTAATGAGCTTTTTTGAAGTGTTGCATTATTATGTTTGGGAAAAGTGCACAAAGAAGTTTTTTAATGTATTACATTGGAGTGCTACATTAGAGTGTTACGTTATTGGAGTGTCACATTTTTGTTTGTAATGTGAGATTTGTTCTAGGAGGGAAAATCTAAATCCTCTATAGTGTAGATTGTCCAAATGTGTAATTTAACATTTACAGAAACCCATTTTTATCTCTAAACCCAAACATGCAAGTGACTACCTTTTTGTATAATTTTCACTTTAATGAGACTTTTGAATTCATAAGAAAAAAAAGAGGATTAAATCATTCACAAGATCATATTTTGGGATTTATTGATACTTCGCCGTTATTATTTTTTTATTTTTACACTATTTGTAATTATTTTAAGTTATTTTCATTTTTTTTACAATTTTTTATATTTGTAGTGAATGAAATATGTAAAGAAAACAAAAATAAAAAATAAAGAAGAAGGGCTCTTTAGTAATTTCATTTTTATCCTCCCCACCTACCCCCCCTAGCCTTCTTTCTCTTGCTTATTTACCCGCCAAAATACTCTCTACCAAACAAAACCTCTACCACTCTCACTCTCTCTCTCTCTCTCTCTCTCTCTCTCACAGCAATGCAAGGAGGTCAAATGGTGGTTGAAGGGCCAGTCCGGTTAGCCTCTGTTCTTACTCCCTCCAAACCTGTAAGCTTCTCTCTCTCTCTCTCTCTGTACCAAATCCTAACATTTTGCAAGGTTATTATTGCTACATTCTTTCAGAACAATCTCAACATTAAGGAATTTTTTAGTATTTTTGTGTGTATTACATTGGAGTGTTACGTTTGGAATTACATTGATTGAAATGTTATGTTCGGGAAAAGTATAATAAGAAAAAAAATTTGTGTGTTACATTGTAGTATTACGTTTGGAAAAAGTACACTGATAAACTTTTTTGAAGTGTTGCGTTATTACGTTTGGGAAAAGTGCACAAAGAAGTTTTTTAATGTATTATATTAGAGTGCTACATTAGAGTGTTACGTTATTGGAGTGTCACATTTTTGTTCGTAATGTGAGATTTGTTCTAGGAGGGAAAATCTAAATCTTGTATAGTATAGATTGTCCAAATATGTAACTTTACATTTAAAGAAAATCACTTTTATCTCTAAATCCAAAATGTAAGTGACTATTCTTTTGTATAATTTTCACTTTAATGAGACTTTTGCGTTCATAAGAAAAAAGGAGGATTAAACCGTTCACAAAATTATATTTTGAGATTTATTGATACTTCACATTTATTATTTTTTATTTTTCACACTAGTTAAGTTATTTTCATTTTTTAACAATTTTTTTTATCTTTGTAGTGAATGAAACTATAGGTAAAGAAAACAAAAATAAAAAATAAAGAAGAAGGGCTCTTTGGTAATTTCAGTTTCGTCCTCCTCACCTACCACGTGGCCCCTAGCCTTCTTGCTCGTGCTTATTTACCCGCCAAAATACTCTCTACCAAACAAAACCTCTACCACTCTCACTCTCTCTCTCTCTCTCTCTCTCTCTCTCACAGCAATGCAAGGAGGTCAAATGGTGGTTGAAGGGCCAGTCCGGTTAGCCTCTGTTCTTACTCCCTCCAAACCTGTAAGCTTCTCTCTCTCTCTCTGTACCAAATCCTAACATTTTTCAAGATTATTATTGCTACATTCTTTCAGAACAATCTCAGAATTTTAGTTTCATGTAGAATTTACTTACCACTGTGTTTGGTTTCCGAGAAAAATTGAGTAGAAGAGAAGAAATATCAGATTTCAAAACCCCTGTTTCATGGTGTTTTAGTTTCCAAAAGAAGCAATGTAACTGACTTGAGCTAAAATTGTACTGGAAGTTCTTGACTTGATGATTTCTGTTGGACTTAATCCCATGTCGCTAATCTAAGCCACCCAAGCTTGGTTAATAAAGTGCAAATTGGTTTTGAGTTCTATGCTTTAAGATGGTATAATAAGAGCTATGATCTAAAATCAACTCTAAATGAAAAAAGGCAAGTTCATGGATGAAGAAGCTAATCCACACTTTTGGGATCACCCAAATACACCCTAAATAATTGTGTAGAAAAAATTTCTTCTAATTTCGGATTATCTCATATGAAGGAAGGATTATGATATAGGGCTAATGACCTGATTTGCAAAACCCTTTAGGGGTTTGCTTGGGAAACCACAAACCCAGTCATTTGTGGGAGTGAGGTTGAGCTAGTTTTTTGGTTGTGCTTGCTTAAGGTATGAAGTTGGATGATCTGTGTCAAGATATGAAGAGAGTACCTTTTGAGCCAATTGGGTTTCAACAGAATTAGATAATGAGAAACCTGGTGCTCCTGACTTATCAAATTCAGTATTATTTCTAAAAGTCTCAAAGAGAACAGGTCAATGTAAACTTTATTGTTCTCAGATGACTGTCAAGAACACAACCCAGGTTTTAACCGACATTAATAAACATTAATAATACAAGAGCTATATCAGCCTTCTACAAGAGCTATATCAGCCTTCCAACATTCATTTCTTGCTTTAATTCTTTTAGTAATCCTGCTTGGTTTTGACATGTTCAGAAATATGTATCCCTTCTACTAGACTTTTTTTGTTAATATTCTTGGAAATTTTCAGAGATTTTTACCGTCACTCACCAAAATAGTTGGAACCCTTGGACCAAATTCACGGTCAGTTGAGGTGATTGAGGCATGTCTTGAGGCAGGAATGTCAGGTAATTCAGCATTGGTTCTCAGTATTCTATTTTACATCATCAGGAGTGCTATGATCTGCTACATTCAATTTTTCCTTTTTCTGTTTTTCCAGTTGCACGTTTTGATTTTTCTTGGTTAGATGACAACTACCACCAGGAAACTTTGGAAAATTTGAGGATTGCCGTGAAAAATGTGAAGAGGCTATGTGCTGTAAGTATCAACTTGTGGACATTTTTGCATTTTTTAGAGTGATATAACGTTGTACTACAAGTCTACACCTCTTTTTAGTATAATATAGTTCTCACTTTTTAAACTAAGTGTAAGTTTAATAGGTGATATATGGAATATATCCTTCTCATGATTGAAAATTTCATTTATTTAACAACCTTTTTTTCGTTTTGCAAAAATGCTTAAATTTTAAATAGCTCCACATATTTTCAAACTCATTTTTATGTTGAGAAAGCTGGGAAATGTGGACTGGGTATGGACTAATCCTATGTTTAGTTTTACGCAAGTGACTAGCTTAAAACTTGAGCTTGCATTCTTATGGTTGATCAGGCCATATGAATACATTCACATTATGTTAGGACTAAACACACCCAAAAAACGATCAACAAGCAATCATACACACAAATGAGACACAAATATTTACGTGGTTCGACCCATTGCCTACATCCATGGGAGAAAGAGAGAAAGCTTCACTGTGAACAAAACAAATACAAAACAGAGGAGGAGGAGTCTTACTCTCTCAACTCAACTCTCATACACTTCTCAAACTGTCTTTTCTTTACTCTTGATCTCTCTCATTACAATCTCAGCTCACAGCTCTTCCATTTATACACAAACGGGAGAGCCAAAGATCAACATCTACTTGCCAACAACCAACTACCAAAATAAATGACAAGCCATTAACACAGCCACCCTAGGTTTGAAAAAAACTTCAGCAAATCTGTAGCCCAAATCTGCAGCAGCTACATTTTGACTTCCGTGGCCAACTTCACATGGTGTGGAATGCTTAACAATTCTGCCCCTCCACACCTACGAGGAGTACGATCCTTTTGGAAGTCCATCCCAACAATGTCCCTGCATACTTCGAGTTTGTCTCTCAAGACCACCTTTGTAAGCATGTTGGTTGGATTCTTATCTGTGTGGATCTTGACTTGTTTCAATAACTGTTTCTCCATCACTTCGCGTATCCAATGATACCGAACATCAATGTGCTTCGTACGAGAATGGTACATAGAATTCTTGCTCAGGTCTATGGCGCTCTGGCTATCACAATGTACTGTGAACTTTTCTTGCTTTAGTCCCAGTTCTTGGAGAAACCGCTTCAACCACAACATCTCTTTCCCAGCTTCTGCTATGGCAATATATTCTGCCTCGGTTGTGGATAAAGCAACACACTTCTGCAGCTTGGACTGCCAAGACACAGCTCCCCCTGCGAAAGTGAACATAAATCCTAACGTAAATTTTCTACCATTAAGATCGCCTACCATATTTGAATTAGTATAGCCTTCCAAGACTAGTTTTACTCCAAAGCACAAACTCATTTTAAATGTATCCTTAAGGTACCTCATAATCGACTTGACTGCTTCCCAATGCCTCTTTCCCTGGATTGGACACCATTGCATACATCAAACTCCGTACTGCAGATAAGTAGGAATTGCCTCCATCTCTTCTCTTTCATTTGTAGAGTGGGGACAAGTTTCTTGCTCAGCTTTAAATGGTTAGCCAGTGGAGTATGACTGGCTTGACATCTTTCATGTTGAACTTTTCAAGCACCCGTTCAACATACATCTCTATGACAACTACAATTTCTTGGCTTTCCTGTCACGTATAATTTACATGCCCAAAATTTGTTGTGCAGGGCCTAGGTCCTTTATGTCAAAGGATTGTGATAACTCCTTCTTCAGTGATCTTATTGTGTGGCATCTTCTCAAAATCAACATGTCATCAACATAGAGCAGGAGTATGATGAAGTTTCCACCAGGAAATTTCCTGACATATACACACTGGTCTTGCAGCAGTTCTCTTGTACTCATGACTCACCATAAATGAGCTCAAACTTTTTGCCACTGTCTCAGCGCTTGTTTGAGGCCGTAGAGACTCTTCTTTAATCTACAGACTAAGTTTTCTTTCCCTTTTACTTCAAAACCTTCTGGTTGCTCCATTTAAATTTCTTCCTCCAAATTACCATGGAGAAATGCCATCTTCACATCCATTTGTTCAAGTTCCAATCCAAACTGGCCACTAGTCCCAAAACTACTCGAATAGGTGTCATTTTCACAACTAGTGAGAGGATTTCATCAAAATCAACATCTTTCTTCTTCCAAACCTATGACAACCAATCCAGCCTTATACTTGACTAGCTTTCCTCTACCATCTTTCTTCAACTTAAACACCCATTTGTTCTTCAGTGCTTTTCGGCCTTGGGGAAGTTTTATCAAATCATAAGTCTGATTTTTCTGCAAGGACTGCATCTCTTACTCTTCTCCTTATGATTCTGAGCTTCTTGAAAACTTGCTGGCTCCTCCTCATCAGTAAGCAAAATATACTCAGAAGCAGGGTATTTTGACGATGGCTTAGGCTCTCTTATTGATCTTCGTAACTGTGGACCAATAGTCTCTGGCGGAGGGGTTGTGGCTCCCCCTGCTCAGCACCCTCTTCTTCTGAATCTTCTTCTTCTGGAAATCCACATGCACCTCTACATCATTGGCTGTATGCTGCGGTAGTTTTTTTCATCAGTGGCATGTTGTGATGGTACAAGATTCAGAACAATTTCTGAACATTATCTACTTTGGGTTTGGCTGGTTGCCCAAAGTCTTCTAAAGTTTGGCCTCCTTAAAACACCACATCTCTGTTTTGAATAACCTTTTTATTTTTAGAGATCCCACAATCTGTATCCAAATTCTTCATCTCCATAGCCAATAAAATGCATGGAGTAGCTTATCATCCAGCTTCTGCCTATGTTCCTTGGATACATGTACAAATGTTTTGCACCCGAACACTCTTAAGTAAGAGTAAGAAATCTCCCTCCCAGACCACACCTTTTCTAGAATCTCAAATTCAGTGAACTGATGGCGATCAGTTTGATCAAATAGCAAGCAACATGAACGGCTTCTCCCAAAATGACGTTGGCAGCTTTGCCATTTTGAGCATACATCTGACCTTCTCCCACAATGTCCAATTTATTCTCTCGGCTACACATTTTGTTGCGGGGTTTCAGGAATAGTCTTCTCATGTCGGATGCTACGAGTAGCACAATAGGCTTCAAACTCATATGACGTGTACTCACCTCCATTATCTATTCGGAGGCACTTCAATTTTTTTCCGATCTCCTTTCCACCATAGCATGGAATGTCTAAAAATGTTGGAACACCTTAGCTAGACAATCAGAGTTATTGAGCAGAGTATGCTCTGATGTATGCGGGTCCCATAGAAGTGGAATATTTGGGTGGCAGAAAATACTTCTAACGTTTATTGATGATGCATCACGGAAGGTATGGGATGTCTAAAGACCAAAGCTGATTGTCTTATGGATGATGAGTGGAAAGCGACTCTATCATGCTTCCCAAATAAGCAGTTGTCACAAGGATTCAATTTCGCATCTTTGGCAAAGGAAAAAAGAGACTTTCTTTGTTAGAATCTGTAACCCTTCCACTCATGTGACCTAGCCTTTTATGTCACAATTTGGTGATGCCCTATCTTCTGCTGGGTTGAGGCTATCTAAAATCACATTCACATGAGTCTTGTACAACGGACGAGTTGCTTGTCCTCTAGTTACCACCAAAGATCCCTTCTTCAATTTCCGCATGGCTTTGCCGACGTAGTTCTCCATAGCCTTGTCGATCTTAAGGTTATCCCTGGAAAATAAGATTTCAGGTTGCAAATCGGAACATGCCTGAACATCTTCAACACCAATCGTGCACCCAACTTTTGGTTTGGATGCGAACATCCACTGATTCCTACAATCTTTTCGCAAAACTGAATTTACCCCATCTTCACACTGTACCCAAAATCTCCAGCCTTGCGTAACGTACTGAAGAGAACTCCTCTCCGGGGTGTAGCGTGGTAGAAAGCTGTTGTATCTACCACCCACTCAGTGTCGTTATCTACTATGGAGCATTTCTTCTGCTTCAATAGAGAATAATGCAAATATCCTCTGAGACAGTAACTAACAGCTTCCTATTCTTCGATTTTGGCTGTCATTACCTTGTTTTTGTTCTCCCTTCAAGGATAGCAATAATTCTTTATTGACCCTTCTAGCCACATTAACAGTTGAACCTTGGGCCGGCTCATACCTTCTTTGGACTTCCCTTGCTCTTGAGAGCTTCCTTGCTTGCTCCTCTGCTTTTTGCTTCTTCCCCTGCCTCTACCTCTGCCTTTATTTTCTGTCACGAGGGCATGGGATTGACTCCAACCATGTCTTTCTTTTCTTGCCTCTTCACTAAATAAAGCATCCGTGACCTGTTTTGTGGTCAGTCTTCCTTCAAGGCTGCAGAAGTTGCTGAGGACACGCACAACGTCTTCCAACTGTTTGGCAAGGAACTGAGCGCCCAATAGGGCTTGATCTCATCATCCAATTGCCATTTTGACAAGTTGCTAGTGGTTCACCAGATTTTGGAACTACTGGGTGTTTTGCAAACAGGAAACGCACCTTTCAGCTTCAAATTTACAAGCCTTTCTCATTAGAAGTCTTTATTCTGCGCAGTCTTCGACATGTTATATGCCTCTAATTTTGTCCAAAGAGTATAGGCATTAGTCTCTTCGGCGAACATGGTGGAAGACACTAGACCGATCCATTGTCTATCTGACCAATTGGTCTATTCGGAGCTTTCTTCCGCTTCCAGTCTCATCCTTCTTTGCCAGCTAGTTTTAACTCCATTTAGCTCAATGGGGTCTCAAACAAATCTGGGCAGTATAGGACATCCTCCATTCTAGGCCTTCCTAAATTTGATAGTTGGAAGCATTCAGCTTGATCATGGAATTTTTTTTTTCCTCGAAGGGTTTTCCAATGTTTGATTCCCCATCCCAATCAAAATAATTGTCTCTATAGAAAATGGTTTCTGTCTGAAAAAAATCAGACTTCGCCGTGAGTCCAAACTTGGTCAAATTAGCCCAAAAGCTCTTGGAATGCCAAAATATAAAAATGCAAATTTTTGAAATCCTGATTTGTAAAATTTGGCCATACGAATGTGTCCGGAATATTCCAAATAGTTAGAACGCACTATTGGATCGTTAAAAATAGACTTCAAATAGCTCAGATCTAGCCAAAACAGTTTAATGGTTCAGGTCGGGCGTAATCTGGAGCAGTTGAGAAGCATTGGATAATTCCTCCGGTTCGGCTGGCGTTAGGCTGATGTCAACGGCGGCGGAGTGGCTTGACTAGCGGCGTGGCTTAGTCAGCGACTCAGTCAACAACTTGGTCAACATGGCTCGGTTCTGGTCAACGGGTCCAGCCAACAGCTTGGTCAGCGGGTTAGCCCAATGATGTCAGCAAGATGATATAATCTGATGACGTCAGGTCGTCTTCTTCCTTGGTTTCGTGCGTGAAGCATGTGCTGCTAGTCTCCAGCGCGTGGGAACGGCGTCAGTGGCGCATGGGGGCTTCTCCGGCGTCCTTTTTTGATGCAGTTTTTTCCTGTGTGCTCGTCTCGTTGAGAGTTTCAACCTGGTGTGATTAAAAGTGGATTTCGAAACACTTTGAAATCTGGGCAATTCTGAAAAACGCACTAAGTTTTTCCAAAACACACACAATTAGGCTCTGATACCACTTTGTTAAGATTAAACACACCCAGAAAATGATCAACAAACAATCATACACACAAATGAGACACAAATATTTACGTGGTTCGGTCCAATGCCTACATCCACGGGAGAAAGAGAGAAAGCTTCACTATGAACAAAACAAATACAAAACAAAGGAGGAGGAGTCTCACTCTCTCAACTCAACTCTCATACACTTCTCACAACTCTATCTTTTCTTCACTCTTGATCTCTCTCATTACAATCTCAGCTCACAGCTCTTCCCATTTATACACAAATGGGAGAACCAAAGATCAACATCTACTTGCCAACAACAACTACCAAAATAAATGGCAAGCCATTAACACAGCCACCCTAGGTTTGAAAAAAACTTCAGCAAATCTGTAGCCCAAATCTGCAGCAGCTACATTTTGACTTCCATGGCCAACTTCACATGGTATGGAATGCTCAACACATTGTGCCCTTTTTACTTCAAATTCAATGTTTACGTTTTCTTTATTTTTTAATTTAATTATTTGTAAATATTTTGATTCTAATTGATCATTTCCAGGTTATGCTGGATACTATGGGTCCAGCACTTCAGGTGTGCAATAAGACTGGGAATCCAATTGAGATGATGGCTGACAATCGTGTGACAGTTACTCCAGATACTACTATAGAACCATCAGCAGAGGTCTTACCTGTAAATTATATTGGGCTTGCCAAGGTATGTTTTAAAATTCAGCTTTACAACACAGAAACAGGACATGGTAATTTCAAAAAAAAAAAAATGGGGATGCGGATATGGATACGGGGACATGGCAATAAAAGTTTTTAGCCATGCAATAGGTATTGCATCACTCATTCTTAAAAAAATGCATGGTTTGGATGAAATGTTATATAATGCCCTTCTCTTCTTTGAATTTATATCTTGCATCTGACATTTATTCTTCAATTGAATATCTACACCACTCTAATAACAGATGACAAAACTTGTGTATATAGATTAATCAAAAGAATTACAAAATATATAAACGAAACCCTAATAATCCCTAATAATCTAAAGTACTAAACTATCCTTAATGAATAAAGAGAGCTGCGATGTGCGATGAGAGACAGAGCTGCGATGGTTGATGATGACCTGCGAGGTATGCTACTGTTTGTAACCTTGCTCTGATACCATGATAACAGATGACAAAACTTGTGTATATAGATTAATCAAAAGAATTACAAAATATATAAACGAAACCCTAATAATCCCTAATAATCTAAAATACTAAATTATCCTTAATGAATAATATAAACTACATAATTCACACATACATCATCTCTAATGGATGCCTGCAGCTTCTGCAACAACTCGTGTCCTGTTGGTAAATCTTCGGATTGGAGGGTGGTACCCATGGGGAATGGAGAATGGGAAAAATTTATTATAGGGGAATGGGGATGGGGAATTAATATCCACCCCATTACCCCCCATTGCCATTCCTACAACAATGCTATTATTAATAATTATAATAACAACAATGCTATCTATTTTGAAAATAACCCTGAATTTGAAATCTACAATATAATTCAAAATTATTGTTATTGGATTACAATCAAAACCTTTTTGTAAACTCTGAATATTTTTTAAATAAAATTTCTAAATTAATAGCATTATTGTTTTAATAATTTGATAGTGACAATTTTTCCAAACTCCCAATATTCAAAACTTCCATAATGACAAATGGTTGATACTACCAACCATCAATCAAGGGAGGGAGCTCGTTGGCCAAATTTTTGTTCTTAACCAAAAGCAAGTTCGATTTTTATGTACCCAAATATATATATATATATATATATATATTAAATAACAGTTGTGTTATTTCACAAATCGATATGGAGAAACTTTAGAAAAGAAATCAACATAAATATTACAAATTATATGCAGTGACTTTAGGGAAGAAATCAACATAATATCACAAATCAGTATGCAGTAACTTCAGAGAAGAAATCAACATAAATATTAGAAATCTTGTAAGTCGTAAAATTCTTAACACCAAAAGGGCCCAACTATGGCAGGATATAGCTTTGAAATTCACTTCTAGAAAAGCCTTCATCATCCCCAACTTCGTTTCCTAGTGCCTAGATTGAGACCATTACCCATTTATATAAATATGGTCCTTGAAATAACTCATATAACCAATTGTCATACAAGTCCAAAAATGAATATGCACTAAAAATATATCATTTTTCTTATAAAATATTTTTTGTGAACTGATTCATATCTGTCTTGCAAGTGAACAATTATTAGTCTCCACTGAAAATTCTTAGCATATAAATTCTCTGCAAGAGTTTCGCTCCTAACAGAAGAATTAATCATCCCTGTACAAATTCAAATTCTAGAACTACTTTCAAAATAAAAGAATTCAAGTTTTGGGAACCTATTCTATCATTCAATTAACAAACATATCTTAATCCTTTAGAGCCAACTGTTAGTGATAATTTTCTTTCCAGTCTAATTCCACTGGAACTAGGAAACCTTAGGAATTTGCAGTATGTAGACTTTGGGAATACTCTCTTGAATGAAAGCATACCTGGCATGTATAACTGCACTACTTTGTTAGAACTCAGCCTCATCCTTAACAATCTCACTAGTACAATCTAGTCAAACATCGGTGATTTAGTTAATCTTCACCGGTCAGCCACCAGCAACCAAATTCCCACCCACCCTCTCTCTCTCTCACTCACTGTAAAAGAAACTAAACTACTTGAGCTCAACTCATGTTTAGCTTGTTAATTTTTCAAGTCAAAGCTTGAACAAGATACTACTTGGCTCAATAAGATTAAATGCATTATAAAAATAATAATAATAATAACACCAAACTATTTGAGCTCAGCTCATTATGGTTCGATTAAAGTTCAATTGCGATCCACTCGAACGGAAAAAAAATCAAGGTTGAACACATTTTGAAGCACGTTTACAGCCATATCTCTTGCTCCTCAAACAGAGGAGCAAAAGAAATCATAAATCAAGAAAACAGTGCCTCAAATCATTAATGAATGCATCCTCACATCTTGCAACCAGAATCCAAAACAAATAAAAAAATACAGGCTCATGAGACAAACAAACAGATAGATAGATAAAGGTGCTTTTATATTCTCATGTATGGAGAGAGAGAGAGAGAGAGACCATCCAAGTAGTAAAATGAAGCAAACACTAAACTCTTAGCCTTTTCAAGTTAAGACTACTACAACTTTTTGTATCCACAGTTAAATAGAAGACCATAATTAGTATAATACCTGTACATAGGAAGTCTCGGCTAGCAACCTTGTCTCAAAAAAAAAAAAAAAAAAAAAAAAAAAGTGTTGCAATGGGTGCATAAGGGGAAAAAATCCCCAGAAATGGTTCCTGCCAAATAAGTGGCGAAGGGACATTTCTCTAGAACTACTCTTATATTTCCACAGAATATTACACATTTGACCACCAAGTTGGTCATCTAAGTTTAAAAAATAAAAATCCAAACTAATAAACATCACACACGGTTCAACAAAAAATTTCAAAGATAAACAACAAATAATCTTGTCCTACCGTACTTGTTGCTTGCATTTAAGGCATGTAACATTAACTTATGCAATTCTAAAAAAATTTACAAATGAAAGTTTAACCATCAAATGTTAGTTTCAAGAAGCAAGTATGGTATTATTGATCAACATAATACTTCAAAAAAGTGTGTGGGTGTGTGTGTGAGAGAGAGAGCGAGAGAGAGAATATACATACACATGTCAAAAATTAAAATGCATTAAAAATAAAAAAATGCATTATTTCTATTTCCGACGAGAAAGACCTCAAGCGAGCTATTTTCCAGAGGATAAAATCATGCACTTCTTAATTCAAGAAATGAACTGCCACGAAATATCTCATTCATATCCCCTACAAAAAAAAATTAACTAAAATCTCAAGAAAAACAAAACAAAAAATGCCAATTCAAAAACAATCAAAGAGCAATATCACTAACTGAGCAAAATTATACACCACTAAAAATAGACTATACAGTAGAATTGCACATATATGTTTCACCAAACTGCATTGAAATGTACCTCTCTATTTGTTCCTCAACAATAACCTTGTCCCCAAAATGTTTGAACTGCAACAATATTATACATATCACCATAAACAATAGAGCGAGCAACAAACTTGTCATTAGAATGCATTGTTACTAAATTGATCTCCATAGAGCATTTTTCTATTATTTTAACTCGTTTTCATTCCAATTAAATTTGCAATGGTGAATATAACAAATTCTTCTCAATAACAATCCAATACCTCAAATTCACCAAATGCCTGCAGTCTATCCAAAATCTGCTCCATTGGAGCCGAAAAATCCTATAGCAAATCGGCCTATTAGAATCGATTCGACAAGATGTTCTATACAACAGTTGATTCTTGCATACTTGGTTTTTAGATTATATATCTATATCTGTATATATATATATATATGCAATGTGAGCAACAAGAACAGAACCTTGAAGAGAGAGAGAGAGAGAGAGAGAGAGAGAGAGAGGGAGCGTTTGAGCATGCTTGGCCAGGGCAAATATAAATAAAAGAAAATAGGAGAAATAAATGGGGGCAAATATAAAGCCCACTCATAAACCGGACCTTTTACCACCCCTGACTTGCGTCTCATAATACTGTTGCAAATATATTTTTTGCCACGGCCAAATAGACAGTCGCAAAAAAGAAAAAAAGAAAAAAGAAAAAAAAGAAAGATGCAAAAAGTCAATTTTTTAGTAGTACTCTTAAGGAAAAAACAATACCAACTACTAAGGGATTCAAATTCAATATGTAGTCCTCTCATGGTCCCATTTTCCATTCAGCACATCACCAATGACTTCCTCTAACGCTTTTCCTTTAACTACATTCTGCAATTTTATTCATTCAAAAAAACAGCATCCTGCAATTCCAAATAAGGAAAACTCATAAATAAGACAAATTCTAGTGAAAGTTTGTACAAAAATACAACTAATTAAGTACCCTCATTACAATGTTGTCCCCAAAAGGGTACTACTGTCAAAAACAGTCTTCTATAACTTCCTAACCTTCTTTTGTTTTTCATGTTCTCAGCTCATTCCCATCATAAGCTCTGCCACAGAGCCCTTGATATCTGACAAGTTGAATGTTTTCATGATATGTTTTGATCAATGATCATTGATGAATTGTAATGCCAAAGTGTAACATTAATGCTATCATACATGTACCAAAATGAATGGTTATTTAATATGCCATGTGGGGCCAAAGAGTGCCACGTGCCAATTTACGTCAATAATTTGGACGGCAGTTGGGAATTGAGCCAAATTGGGAATGATCATATAGTTTAGAGACCAAATTAGGAAAAATAAACTTTAAGGGCAAGGTAAGAATTCAATAATACTTTACGAGGACATAATATAATTGTATATATAGAGAGAGAAAGAGAGAGGAAGAGAAAGAGAAACCTGAGCAGAAGAAAGCACTTCTGGTGAAAAGCGAACATATCGTTGACTACCATAAACTGCAGAACTAACATCAAAACCACTGCCAACTTTCCCTTTTCCAATCTCACATGATAAACTCCACCTAGAAGCATTAAAAACTTACACAGTTCAATCTGTTAAACTTTGGCTTGCTCTAAACATTGGCATATGGAAACATCTCAAGTACAATAACGCGCAAATTTGTAACAATACATTAATGATACAGATAAAATGATTCAAAAAATCACTTTCATTCTAGTAGCTCAGAAAGCATAATCATTATAGTAGATGTTTCAATTGTAGTAAAAGAGAAAGAACATGATCGGGAAAAAATATGAGCAAATAAACACCACCAAAGATCAAACAAGTTAAAGATTTTAAAAGTACAATAGGAAAGGTACAATACCTGATTCCGATATGAATAGAAGTCATTGCCACCTAAGATTGTAATGTCAAGACCTGAATGAATAATCCAGTTGAGACATTAGATATTTACAATTACTTAATTTTAATAAGAAAGATGAAGCATCAAACATTACCTTGTAAAAGTAGTTTGTGTAACAAATCCTTCTTATCCTTTTCCAATGTCGCAAGGGCTGCTGCTACGGCATATTGCACTGCATATTCTACAAAGGGGTTTCTTGATTCACAGAGATTTTAAGCCAACACTGATAAGCATCACCTCAAGCCAATATACCATTTATTTTCCCCATTATTTGAATTTAGTTATTAAGACGAGAGAAACCAATAAAAATAATTCTTCTTCAGAAGACACAAATGTAGATTGCTTGGTAGCTGCTCTTCTTGCCATGGCTAGTCCCACAGAAGACACAAATCCTCTTGAACTTGGATTGCTTCATTTCATTCTCTCTACATCACTCATCCTAGTTGCAATATCAATAGAAATTCAAGCTATATGTAAAAAATCTTTGCAGAACATCAGAGAAAGTTTTCATCATACTTTCAACCTAAAATGTGAATTTAGGACCTATTTATAAGTCCAAAAATTATGTTCTATATTTAATTGAAACAACCTTCAAGGTCCTAACTTGGCTTTATTACTGCGTATTACAATATACAATGTCAAATAAATTATATATGGCCAACATACATATGGTCTATTCACAAGTTTTGTATGAACCAGCCAAAGACCATTCACAATCTAAAACTTCAATGATCTATAAAATGGTATATCAAGTTTTATGAGATTTGTAGTTTCATTTGAAAAGATCACTGCAACTAGATTTATTGTGGAAGCAAGAAGAATTTTATTATTCTTATCATTGTCAGTGATATTTATATTAATATTTTATTTTTATCTGATTACACCTAGGTAGGAATAAATTCTCTATTGCATGAAGGTAAAGTAAAAGCTATCATTCTATATGGATTGCATCCAGAGAGTAAGGTCACTAATTAAGAATGAGGCAAAGGAAAATGAAAACACACAAGTATATCAAAATTTTCCTTTTCTTTTCTTGTTTTCCCCAATTTCTAAGCAACCAAACAGTGCGTAAAAGGAATTCCTCAAGAAATACTGAAATTAATAGTGCCCGTGAGAGATTCAAAGTAGACAAAGAAAAGAAAAATACCAGTAGAAAGATTCAAAGAAGATTCGATTACTCCTTCAACTGTATTCAATTTCATACAAAACTAGGGCCAAAATTTTTATTTTTCTTCCAGAATTGACAATATGCTTTCAAACCAGAGAGAGCGAAAGCTGCCCCGGAGGCTCGAGGCGAGGCAGAGGATTCGTCGACGGACGGTGATACGTAACATTTTTTCTTTTCTTTTGTATTTTTTTTTTTTTTTTAAGCAGTGAAAAAAGGGTCATGCCGGATGGCCTCGAAACAAGCAGGTGCAGTGCGGCCATGGAACACCAAGGATCCTCTAGAGTGAAATTTTCCTAAAGTTTCCTAGAGTGTTAAATTGTGTGGTTGAGATTTACTGGCAAGTCACATCAGAAAAATTGATGTGACTTGCCAGTAAATCTCAACCACACAATGTAGTACTCTAGGAAACTTTAGGAAAAAATCACTCTAGAGGATCCTTACTCGCCATGGAAAGCTAGGTCCTTTGTCGAATCATATATTTGTGGGTGTGTCTGGGCTATTTTTAGAATTCACCATTTACATATTTTCAAGAACTTATGTATAGGTTTTAATATGGAGATTGTCTTATGATAATTAAGGTATTTTTTATTAATTATTATTAAAAAATTGTTATTAATTGTTAATTTTTAACGATATTATGAAAAATTTGTTATAAAAAACGTTACTAATTATAAGTTTTAGTAACATTTTAAAAAAATCGTTATAAAAACGTCACTAATTTTTAACTTTTAGCTATAATTTAAAAAATTCGTCATAAAAAGTTACTAATTATAAGTTTTAGTGACAATTTATAAAAATTGTGACAAAAAAAAGTCACTTATTATCAATTTTTAGCGATATACACAAGAATCGTCACAAAAAATTATTTGACAATTTTAGTAGAAGTAACTTTCAATAGGACTTAAGTCTCGTTTAGGAATATGCTATTTTAGTAATTTTTGATTTTTTGGTTAAAATATAAGGTAAAAAAAATTGTTTAGTTTGGTTTTGAGAAACAAATGTTGGAAATTTTTTTTTTAAATTTTGTTTGGTTTAGTAATTTTGGAAAAAAATTTCCAAAATCACTTTCTATTTCATACACATCAATCAATCATTTTTTCTCTCTTATCTCTCCTTCTCATTCACTTTTTTCTCATACACATCTACTCAACTACAACAAAATATCAAATCATCCCAAACTCCAATACTCCAAAACTATTTCCAAAATATACAACCAAACAAATCAAAAAAATATCTAAAATCTTTCCCCAAATTTTTTTTTGAAAATTTATCTCCCAAAACCAAACTTAACAAGGCCTGTATGTTTGGGATAACTTTTTAGTTTTTTACGAAAAGATGTACAAAAAGTAAAGAGAAAAAAAAATCTTTTTTTTTGTGTGTATAATTTGTTGGTTTTTTTAAATAATTTTTTAATTTTTAAACTAAAACGCAATGTTCCCAAACGAGGTCTTAATGGATATTAAGTCTAGCTATTATGATGTATTGATAATTTATCTTTTAACGACTATTTGGCTAAGATGGTGGCCAATTTATATGGATTGTTGACCTATGTTTTTGGGTAGGCTAGATGTAAAACAAATTCAACATTGCCACTTCTTGGATCTACTTATTAATTAATATGTGATTAAAAAAAAAGGTCAAAATTTGATGTGGTTGAATACTCAACATCTTGGGTCAAATACAAAGTGACTTATAGAATACTGCTTTTACCACATGTTAATTAAGAAGTAGAAAAATACATTATGCTATCTTAATTATGCACCCATTATTAGAGGCGGAGGGAAGGAGGGGGTTAGGAGGTGTCTTGGCCCTGCTACTTTGCTAGGATTGTTAGGATATGTGTGTGATTTATATGAGTTATGTGTTGCTTAATTGCATTTGGCCCTCCCAACTTTTTTTTTTTCAATTATTTTTTATTACTTATATACTATATTTTGTAAAATAGTTATGAGTTTTTGTAATGTTAATACAAATTATTATACTTATGTTACGAATGGATGCACCACAAAAAAAAAGTTTTAGTTACAAATTATTAAAGTTATATAATGATTATGATTATGTTATGAATACTTAAAATTAGAACAAATATCATTTTACCCCTCAAAGTATCACGCGTTTTTCACGTTGACCCCTATACTTCGATTTATTTCAATTTAGTACATGAACTTTTTACAAATTGATCAATTAGACCCTTCTCGTTACCTTCCGTCTACAATTGGACGGAATGTGCTAACGTGGCACCAAAGTTCATTTAAAATTTCATTTTACCCCCCAAACTATACCTTAAAAATCAATTTACCTTGTTGAGTCTAAGGCTCAACTAAAGTTCTTATACATATATATATAAATTAAATCCAATTAATTCATTCTGAATCAGATTTTTATAAAACTTCATATTAGGCTCTAAAAATTATGCTGATCACAAATATTTAATCAGTTTTGATTTCTGGTGCCTCTAAGACCTTCAACTTTCAATTTAAAGTTGTAATTGAAACAGATTTTTCTAAAATCAACAGATATAAATATAAATCTTTCTATTTCACATGCAATTTCTCATCAAACACATATTAATTAGCACATAACAATGCAATCGGGGGAATAATTAAGCAAATGCATGTCCGGGTCGTTACATTATCTATTTTTTAGACAAATTTAATTCAATAATGCAACCACTAATATCGAATCAATTTAATTATCACATGTTCATTGACTTGGCAACTCTAAAAAATGAGTAATTTAAATCAACAAGATAAGCTTGAAGTGGGCCCAAATCTCATAAATTGGACTCTCTAGTCCAATTGTTGATTCACTATAAGAATTTACACATTTGTCGACCACTTTTGCCGACCAAAAAAATTTTGGTCGCAAAAAAATGACATTTGGCGACCAAATATTAATTAGTCGCGAATGATCATTATTTTTGGCGACCAAATATTATTGGTCGCAGAAGGTTATATTTTGGCGACCAAAAAATATGTTGGTCGCAGAAAGTGGTATACTTTTGCCGACCAACTACAAATTTGGTCGCGGAAGGTCACATATTTTTTGGCGACCAAAAATTTGGTTGCGAAAAACTTATTTTCAGCAACCAAACAAAATTAGTCGCCAAATTAGTACTTTTCGTGACTAATATTTTAGTCGCCATTGATTGAGATTTGGCGACTAAAAATTTTTGTCGGTGAAAGAACCTGTTTTTGCGACTAATTTGATCTTTTGGTTGCAGAGAGTTTGGGGGGAAATTTGATTTTTATAGAGGCGGGAATTGAAAATTTTTGGTGACAAAAACATTTAGTCGTCATTTTTAAAACAAAAACCATTTGTACCACGCATTCACCTTCACATGCTCTCTCTCTCTCTCTCTCTCTCTCATTTCCTTTTGTTTGCATCGCTCTCCTACTACTAATTACCCCAACCTACTCCATCCACCAGCTCCAGCTATGAAAAAGCATATACATACACTTTCAAAACCCATATCATAAATTTTTGTACCACGCATTCACCTTCACACTCTCTCTCTCTCTCTCTCATTTCCTTTTGTTTGCATCGCTCTCTTACTACTGATTACCCCAACCCACTCCATCCACCAGCTCCAGCTATGAAAAAAGCATATACATACACTTTCAAAACCCATATCATAAATTTCTAGGGTTTGAATTTTCAAATGCAAATCCATTCTTCTTCTTCTTCATAGATCAGAGAGAGAGTGAGTGTGTGATAAATTGAAATTGATAATGCCAAGGCAGAATCGGCTTGTGGAGGGTTTGATTCCCGAATCCTGCAAGATCCGAAAGAGGGGTTGCTCTTCGTCTTCGTCTTCGTCTTCGTCCTCTGTGTTGCAGAATTACCAATTCAAGCGGGCCATTTTGGTGGGTAAGCCTCGGGGATCCAGATCGAGCACTCCGAGGTGGGTTTCTTTTTGGTGAGTTTCTTCGTCCTCTATCTTATCCATCTCACAGTCCTGTTTCAGAGGTGGGTTTCTTTTTCTTTTTTTGATAAATTTCTTTGATTGCTGTTTGGTTGTTGAGAAAACAGTTGAATAAAAAGGATATTTCTATTAGTAGTTGGTGTTTTCAAAATGTTTGATGTGTTGATGGTATTGTAGAAATTGGTAGCTGTTTAAACAAAATTAACTTGCAATTTAGATAGAAATATCAAATTGGCTTGCAGAAGGACAAACAACTTAAAATTTGTGAAAATTTTAGAAGTATAGGAGATGTGGGTGGAGAGTAGGTGTAGTGGAGTAGGTAGAGTAGGTGGAGTTGTGTAGTGGAGTAGCTGAAGTGGAGTAGGTGGAGTAGGTGTAGTGGAGTAGGTTTTAACATATCTCAACTTATCTTCTTCCATTGTTTTTTCTATCCATTTAAGCTCAATTCTCTTGATTTGAAATACATCTATCCAAACGGATCCTTAATTTTTTCAATGGTTGAGTGGCCTTCCCTGCTGAATCTGTAATAAAAATTGGTAAAAACTCTGCAGCAGGCACTTTTTAAGCGTATTGCAGTTCTATTTGCGCTACACTCTATATTGATTTAGGTGCAACTAGTGAACTAGTACTGGTGAATATCACATAGCAATTGGCATACTACAAATATGAGATCATGATACTTTATCTTCCTACGTTGAGACATCTACTGAAGCAAGTACTTCTTCTGCTAAGTCCCTGTAACTTGTCAAGTCAAATATTTATTAATACCTGATTGAGGATGTGTTCATTTCTGTTGGAGCTAGCAATATTCATAGAAACTGCCATGTTTTTGAGTTTTCAAACCATGCCAATGTTGTTCTGTTAATTAGATGTATATCTAGAGCTAATTTCACATTTTCTATTTTCAACAGCTCAGAGCTTTCAAGCTCATAATCTTCATGAAACTCAGATATTTGCCAAAATTGAGACAGTGGAGGTAAGCTAGGCATTGACATTATAATTGAATTCCTGAAGGAAATGATATGTTCTATTTTGCTGTT